GAGAGAGAGAGAGAGAGAGAGAGAGAGAGAGAGAGAGAGAGAGAGAGAGAGAGAGAGAAATGGAGGTGGGGAGACTTACAAGCTAATGGTGGGAGATGGTCAAAGGTGGCAAGAGCCCCCGGGGGAGGGTGGGTAAATTGGGAGAATTGGGGTAATGAAGGGGGATTTGCCACCTGGCCCGATCACTCGCGGGTGGTATGAAAGAGAGAGAGAGAGAGAGAGAGAGAGAGAGAGAGAGAGAGAGAGAAATGGAGGTGGGGAGACTTCCAAGCTGACGGTGGGAGATGGTCAAAGGTGGCAAGAGCCCCCGGGGGAGGGTGGGAGAATTGGGAGAATTGGGGTAATGAAGGGGGATTTGCCACCTGGCCTGATCACTTGCGGGTGGTATGAAAGGGGGCGCAGGGGAGAGAGAGAGAGAGAGAGAGAGAGAGAGAGAGAGAGAGAGAGAGAGAGAGAGAGAGAGAGAGAGAGAGAGATTCTCTCCCTCTCTTTCTCTCTCTCCCCCCTTTCTGTTGCCTCCCTCTTTGTCACCAATCTCCTTGATGTGGGTGGAGCTGCACTGTTTTTTGTACCTCTTCAAACCACCAGTCATCCCAATTATAAACAAGTAGCACTCCTGTGAGGTCCCTGCCCTGCGGGGGGGCTGTAGGGTTGGCAATTTTGCATGCACTGAATTTTGCAAAAGGAAAATCAGGTGTGTAGATTCGGTGCTGATATGTTTGGAAAAGAACATTGAAAAATCCTGGTGTCAAGCAGACACCAGGATTTTTTCTCTAAGTTGGACAAGAAGATCCTGGTGTCAAGCATTCACTTCTTTTTTTTTCATTCTTTTGCATCTGTTTTGCTCAGGCCCTTTTTCTATTTGCATCTGTTTTGCTCCAACAAACCCCCTGGGTGACCCATCACAGAATTGAAAGGTAAGGCTGGGTTCTGGCTGCTCAGGACATGCGCAATAGTGGCCTCTTTTTAAATCATTGCCAGTTTTCTGCCCCTGGGCGGTTTTCCTGTGGCGGTGCCCTCTTGCCTGCCTGCTCCAGGTGTCCATGGCTTCGGAAGCCTGTCCTGACTCCCGCCCAGGATAGCCTCGAATACCTTACTTTGCAGACTGGTACTGACTACATGGAGTTGTGCAGTGGAGATGCACAGCTTTGCGATCCTCACTTTTTGAATTCATCTCTCTCTTATTTTGCATCCACACTTTGCATCTGTTTATAGTTTTCCCAGTGCGTTCGACTGACTTCTCTTCCCTATTGGTTCTACTTTATCATCATAGCTATTATACATAAATGCTCTCTCAGTCATGCCTGATGGCGTAGCCCATTCCTGCTCGTGCCCAAGCAGTCATGCCTTCACCAGTGCTTTGCAAACAAGTGTGTGATTTTATGTCCTCCTCTACCCGCTCGTTCAGGGTCACTTGCTTTCGAGTGGATATCTCGAGCAGACCCTCTGCAGTACGACCTTGAAGCTCAGGTTCTCCCTTTTTGAAGGGTTACCTTGCAACACACGTGGGCAGTGATCTTTCCAGGTGCAGATGGAGTATATGTCCCCGAACCATGCTGATCTGAACCAGTGAACCCCGCGATGTCGCAGCATAGCATGCTTTGTTCTAAGCAGCATCCAAACTGCCAGCCAATGACATCCTTCTCTCATGTTGCACTATCCAACATCCGTGTGTGATTCATGCCATCTGCCAGTTCCATGAGTGTCATGACTGGCCAAAGCATATCTTCAGTGGTCTGTATGGTGGTGAAGGGGGTGCAATGTGAGGGGATAACTGAAATGCTGATAAGTACTGTGTGAACGCTAACCTGACTGTGTTTCTGTGTTGATCCGTTGCTTCACATGATGTATGCAGACGGCAATGAAGAAAAAAGTTACATCACGGTTCAACTTTCCGAAAACTATTGACCTGGCCCCCCGACTCACAAAGCATGGAATGCATACAATTCAGGATGAATCTGCTGGATTGGTCCCGAGGTGTGCGTCAGACCCGGAAGAAGGCCGGTATGTATACGACTTGATGGCGATCCTGATACACAAAGGAAACATGGCATCCAGTGGACACTATATTGCACACATTAAGGATGATGTGACAAATGAATGGTGGCAGTTCGATGATGAGACAGTCACATGCCTTGGTTGTCATCCTTTGGGAGAAGCAATGTCCACTCAGGGAGAGATCAACCCATGCAGGGCCTCCTCCAGCCCGGAGATTGTGATTATGGATGATGACGGGGACAGGTTAGAGGGGACTGGGAATACTATGACTGTAGGCGGCCCAGCAGGAACTGTGGATGGGAAGATCGAGGGGGGCACAGGTCTTGGCAGCAGTGGAGCTGAAGCGGCAGTCGTTCATGATCCTAACATGCTGACATCGGCCGACGCCTATATGCTGATGTACAGGCATCGAGTGAATCCGCAAAATGAAGAAGAGAAGGCTGATGGCATTGCTCCGGAGGCAGACGGCCTTGTTCAAGGTGGAGGGGTTGAAATTAAAGAGGGTGCAAACTCATGCCCCAAGGATACGGGCGATCTGCTGAATGGTGCAAGCAGAGGTGATTTTGCCGAATCATCACAGAGTCGTGGGAGTGGTGATGGAGGTTCTGTGGCCAGCACTCTTGAGTGCAAGATAATCTCTCCTCAGCCTGAGTTTTGCCATGAAATACAAGCCTGTAACCAGGCTCTCCAGGAAAGTTGTCTAGAGTACAAGGAGCGACTTGAACAGGAGTCACTGAGAATCAAGGCGCGAAGAGAGGAAGTTAGAACCATTCTTTCGGAGATTGCTGTGAATGCTCTTGAAGAGCCTTTCTTCTGGATCAACTCTGATTGGCTTCGTACATGGGCTGATAGTGCGAGGCAAATGTAAGTGTTTCCCTTGAATGGAGGAATTACTATTGTGCTACCTACCTATGTGGAGGACCCTTTTCATATATATGGTTTTCTCTCGTTTCTGTTGTTTTGAAGGCTACAAAAATGCTGCCCGATTTCACGTGTTGTTAAAGGCTGTACTCAATGTACTCAAGTGCAGAGTTCCATTTCTGTCCTTTGGAACATCTGTTCAAACTTGAACGATCCAGGGAAGATTAGCGTAGCCCCTGCACAAGCATGACCCACAAATAAGGGTCCAAATTTGAGAAAAACAAAAGAAAATGATGGGAGGGAAAGTCAATGCCCTCTGATACTGAATGGCCTTTTTGAGAATAGTTTCCTGGCGTGTCAATGGTACTCGTCTTACGAAGGTATGCGATGCCTGTAAGAGTCAAACTCCTGTCAAGTGCTGCTTTTTTTGTTGACTGCTGTTAAACCATCACGATGTCCGAGGCTGTTTTTACCGACCCGGAATCGTGTTGCGTGCCTAAAAAAGAAAACGACCCGGCGCAGGTGTAAGTTCTTTTCTTCCTGGCTGGTGGGGCCAGCCGTTCTGGTCTGGTAGCCTTGAGCCCGTGAAAGTTTCGAATGTATGCAAACTGACCCCTTCTTTTTTTGACTGTGGTGGTGGTTGAGTGTTGGTGGCATGTTGAAAGCCACGTTTTGCGAACTTGCCCTTCCCAGACTCTTCGAGTGGTTTTAGGGCATCGTCAGTCTGTGACTTCCACTGATATACCCGGCAGGACCTGGTATGGTTATGCCCTGTTCGTTGTCCTACATGTGGCCACCACTGAGGTTAGACCCAAAAGTTAATCAATGCCTTCCTGTCTAAGTTTCACATAGCAATAATGTGGCGGCTCCTCTTTAGATCTGCCCTCATTTCGGGAGGTTGGCATCACTCGTCATGAATTAGAGTCATGCTAATCGTTTGCCATTACTGCTGGCGAGTCTTGTATGGTAAGCATTACCTTTCTGGGGCTGGTGTATCTATCCCTTTTCAACGGGCTGGCATGCGGTGTCCAACTTGTGTTGTCCCTATGAATGCTCTGCCACTTGGTGATGTTTATTCCTTGTAAAGGGTCTGACCAGCTTTATCGCTCGACTCCCCAGAGTCCTTTCTTCCAAGGACTTGTTGCTGCAAAGCTAGGTATCAAGCAAATGCTCTTTTTTCACAGTATGATTTTTCTGAGTGTGCCTTTTGTTCTAAAGAACACGACATGCTCTAGTGATGGTCTTTGTTCATAATGTGTGCTGTGTTGATTGTGAATATTGGTGACAGCTTTCAATCAGCATCAGTAGCATGTGAGGTCCGGTTCACGTCTTGCATGACACTTCCTGGTTTTGATCGACCGGGCTTCGAGTAGCTGTTTTTTTTTTTTTTTTTTAATCCCCTTAAGCTGGGTATGAGTAGTAGAACGTTATGCTATCTGGTCATTTGTAGGCGGTGGGGTTTCTGTCACTGTTGGGTGGGTGGAAAGGAATTTTGATCGTGTTTTGGATTGCTGTGTTCACTTCATGCTGCCTTCCCTCCGCTCGACTTGTCTGTGTTTCAGGCCTGCTTGCACGACACATCGGGCTTGGAAACGGGACTGGGAGAGTGGCAGCCTTACCGGATGAGGAGAGGTGTGGAAGAGGGGTTTACAGGAGGAGTAAACAAACGGGAGGGAGGGGGGGGAGGGGGGGGGACCGGAGACATGGAAGGGGAAATAGACAACGTGAAAAATGCAACAAAAAAATAGAGAAGAACAGGCAACGTTTCAAAAAAGAAACAAAAAAAATGGCATAGCACAGAAAAGGTGCTTGTCCATGAAATGGGAAACATGATATAGAAAGAGAGGGAAGAAAATCAAGGGGTAGAAAAGCTTTTGGCAGGTTTTGATTGGCGTGCGTTCACCTCGGTTCTGTTGGCTGGTTGAGAGGGGGAAAGCTCGTTATTTTGTTCGTCCTCCTGTTTAGTTGTTCGGTGAGACATGACGAGTTGGGGGGGAGGGGGGGGGAGCAATTTTTGAGACCCTTCTGTGGACCTCTGAGTGCATTCTTCATGAATGGATTTAACTGGGCACATGCACGTGCATACATCCACGAGAGGCTGGTGGTTTAAAGGTCTCACCTTGCTTTTGATTGGTGCGTTAAATCACCAATCCCTTTCCCAGCTATTTATCCTGACGCAGTGGTATAACCTTCCACATTAACAGGGGACCGACCTACTGGACTAAAATGGCTGTTGTTGCCAGGCCAAAAAAGAATATATTTTGCGGCGGTGTCAGCTCCTCCCCCCCCGCCCCCTCCCCTTTTCTGCACAGCAGCAATCGGGTTTGGGAAAAAAGCTTTGGAGGGGCTCATGGTTCAAGCAATAGAGTAAGACAGTACTAATGCTAGATGAACGGTTGTGGATCCGTCTGCAAGAAAAAGAAAAGTTGGACTGAATGACAATTATCATGAATTATGACATTAGCATTCAGAAAACAAAGGCAACAAAAAGACAGTGCTAATGCTAGATGAACTGTTGTGGCTCCGTCTGCAAGAAAAAGAAAAGTTGGACTGAATGACAATTATGATGAATTATGACATTAGCATTCAGTGAAACGGTTTTCACCTTTTAGCAGTAGCGGATGCAGTACCCAGGGTTCGATTCCTAGACCTCACCCTACCCATGTACAGTATCTGTGTAGACCCCGAGAATTGAACCTGTGACCTGTGTATTCGTAGGCAGTTGGTAGACCTGTCGTWGGTCCATAGACAGCABGGKTTCGATCTGTAGGTYTATAGCGTAGGAGTCTTAGTGAGTTCTGGAAGCTTAGCTGTAGACCTTCTAGAAGGTAGGCAAGTGGGCAAGTGGTCAAGTGGTGAGGCAAGTGGTGGACTAAACCGCAGTGCAACAGCGGTAGGATAGCGGTGAGTCCACAGTCGGTCAACGGAAGGTCCAGTCAGTCCCATTCCGGTCCAGCCAGTACCACAGGGGGACTGTAAGCACCAAGGGCCGATGGCAAAGGGCAGACCAACGAGTTTCTGAAGTATAAATCAAGAGGCAGCGCCCAGCCATTCATTCATTCCTGCGTGAGCCATGCGGAAGCGCTGCCACAGCGACTTGTGCAAGGAGGTCTGCAGATGAGCCCGGAGGACGCAGTGGGCAAGAGAGGAGGAGTTAGCATAGCGATAGGTTAGAGGCAGCCATAGCTGCCATAGCTGTAGTTAGTAGTGAGTGCGTGTGTGTGCTCGAGTGTTAGAGTGATGCGTGTGGGATATCCAGGGTGATCCAGTGTATGTGAACAGTGAGATGTTTGGGCGCTGAAGTCGGCATAGCCAATTGAGAGTGAACTCGTATCTGAAAGCCATATCTCTGAGTTTTGAGTGCGCGCATGTCGCCAGTATGCTGCGTTGCTGTTTACATGCATGAAAAGTGTGTTTGAGAACAAGTCTGATTGCATTGGTATCGGAGCTGGTACCCGCTATTCCATGCGCGCCGTCGTATGCAGGGCCTGATGCGCCATAGCCGAGGTGGCAGCCAAGGGAGATAGTCCGCCATAGCGGACCTGAGGTTGAAGAGGTCTGTCAGTCAGGGGTTGACGTCTACGTGGTGAGGTTTGGAACCACTAACCCGGTTGTACACTTATCACCATGGTTGAGACCCGTAGTGGGAAGGAGACTAGCCCCTACACCACTGAGCAGCAAGAAAAGATGGCCGCCTTAGTCAGAGAGAAGACTAGCCCCTACACCACTGAGCAGCAAGAAAAGATGGCCGCCTTAGTCAGAGAGAATAAGGAGAGGAAAGAGCGTGAAATGCAAGCCGAGCTAAAGGCTATCGCAGACGAGCAGGCGGCGAAGATGAAGATATTGGAGGAGGAGATGAAGAGGGTACAACAGGAGGAGGAAGAAAGAAGGAAGGCTGCTGAAGCAGAAGCGGCAGCAGAAGAAGAGAAAGAGAGGATGAAAATTGAGAGTGGGGAAGGAAGTAGTGGTRGCACGATGAAGTGGGAGACAGATAYTGAGMTGGAGAARAAGATCAGCGAGTGGGTCGCTAATTTATCGTTGGGGGAAGACGAGGAGGCGGAGTCCTATGTGACTAAGGATGAGAAGGCTGCGCTGGCCGCTGAGCTAGCAGCCATGACAGACCCGATGGAACGAAGAGAGAGGGAAGACGAGCAAAAGTTAGCATGGAAGTTGAGAATGAAGAGGGAGAAGAAGAGGAGCAAAGAGGAAGTGAATAAGATGACCGCAGCAGTGGCAAAGGTGCAGGAGTGTAGAGCGGAGGTGCTGGCCCAACCAGACGATAAGGCCAAGTGGGACAAAGTACTTGGGTATTTGGAGGTGTTGAGCAAGGCCTGGATGGAGGAGCGCCAGGCAAGCTGGAGCCAGGATGTAGCGTTGAGTGCCATGCGGTCAGGATGTAGAGATTTTGCGCGCGAGATCGTTACCCATATTGGGGGCGAAGTGAAGCAATTGAGAGATAATGTAGGTAAGTTTTGTGAGGGCGCCATTCAGGGTGCCAAAGCTGTAGCTGCTGTAGAGGGAGAGGCCAGACCCCGTAAGGACCCAATGAAACTCAAGTTCCCAGATGCGTACGGGGGGAAGAAGGAAGAGAACTTTGACAACTGGGAAGCCAGTGTCAACAGTTATATTTACTTGTAGCATATCCTAAAAGAGGAGCAAGTCCTCGTGGCCTTCCAGGCCCTGAAGGACGAAGCRGCTAGCTTCGCCAGGTCTCTCGTGCGTACAGCCGGTTGTGAAAACAACCTGGTTGCATATTCCAAAGTCACTCCTCTTTCCCAATTCCTCAAGCTCCTCAAGGAGCGGTTCGCTGACCCAACGCGAGGCATTAGAGCCTCTGATAAGCTCCAAACGATCCACTCCCGACAGTGGAGGAATGCCAAGGCACTCAAGGGTACCATGGACGACTTGGTAGCCGTCCCGGACCACGGGGTCACTGAGCCCCAGCTGGTCCAGTTGTTTTATCGTGCCATTCCAGAGGCCCTACGCGGGCATTTCTTTGACAA